CTCTGATTGAGGTCTTTGTCTCATGGTGGCAACTGCACTGTGTAAGTTTGAACCCGCGGTCTCAGCTGGAGCACTTTTCGCAAGTGGTCAGCGGCGTGGGAACTTGAAGGATCTAGCGCGAGATCTCAGATGCCTACTGCCCCTGCGCGGTGGCTGCAATATGCAATGGTGCACGCATCAACTGCAGTGAGGGTTCCGAGCTGATAACGGCCCAAGAGATACTTACGGAGACCATCCCCGCTTGGTCGGGCGAGCTGGTTCTCCTCTCCGCCCTCGCCCCCCTCCCCCCACGCGGGGCAGGGCGGCAGCCCCCCTCCCAGGCCCGCTGCGGGCCTCTGAACTCTCGGCCGCGAGTCTCGCTGCACTCGCCCCCCCTGGCGCGAACGCGACGGGCCCGAGGTGCAGGAAGAAAAGAAAATCTTATATTGATAGAGATCGGGCTACGGATCCAAATACGCCCCTTCCTTGCCGTCGCTCGGACGCCCATTGTCCGTGCATTTGTCTGTTTCGCGCGCGTTGTTTGCTCGATGGCCCAGGGTGGTCCTCGATGGTTCTCGCCGAGAAAGAATGCACACGTCCGAGCGATGCCGAGCTTCCCCAATCCCCCCCATCGCCCAGGAATGCAATGCTCGCCGCGCGCGGCCTCCAACTCACCCGAAAACGTAGCCACAGAACGTGTGGGCCCTCACTCGACGGCATCGTCACAATGACGTCCTCTCTCCAACTCATCCGAAAACGCAACCACAAAACGGGTGAACCCTCGCGCGACGGCATCGTCACAATGACTGTGAGCTTCAGGCCTCAGTCTGTGCGCGCCCTCCTGCGCCTCCCCCTGTTTCTCCCCCTCCTCGTCCCCCTCCTCCCTGTCTACCTTCTCCTACCCCTCCTCCTCTTCCCCCTCCTCATCATCGCCATCGCCATCACCATCATCATCATCATCATCATCATCATCACCATCATCATCATCATCTTCATCATCATCAGCAGCAACACCAGCATCGTCATCATCATCAGCACCATCATCAGCATCTTCATCTTGATTTCAATTTCCTCTCCCTCCTACCCCTTCTTCGGCAGAGCGTGGGGGGATTCCCGGAATCATCGTTGCGCCAGTCTTGGAGGTCCGAAATCTGGACTCAGGCGGAGGCACATAGCGCGCAAGAGACCCAAAGGGGAGGAGCGGAGCCTCGAATCTACATCCAAAGCGTCGCTCCCAGCTTGACTGCCCCTCCGCTGGGGTCCTGGTGTTATAGCAAAGACAGAAGTATCGGACGGCGTAGGTCCAATATGGCGGTGGAAGACCGGCCTGCATGAGCAAGGCTCTAGTCCCCATCTGTACCACACCATTTGCACGCTCAGCAACGGCGTTTTGTTTCTCATTTCCTGGGATGGTAGGATCATGGGTGGGCAATCTTGAGCTCGTAACATGCCCTCGCAAGCTCTCTTGCACCATCTGTATAACAGTATTCTAACTTCTCCTCCGGGGCTTTTAGGTTTACCAAAAAAATGCAAACGTGAGCCGCAGACTTGTCGTGTACACCCTGAGCGGCAAGGATATCCGTAGCTCGGTCGCGAAAAGTCACGCACGCGGTCTCATCGTGGAGTCCCCGCGAGAGTTCATCCATCGCAAACCAATGGTCCATCGTCAGGTGTCCAAACGAAGTGGGGTTAGCGTATGGGCGGGAAACCTTCAGCCCCTTGTTTTGCGCCTTGCGCTGTTGCTTTCTGATAGCTTTGGCCCAATTGCACACTGGACAATATGGGTTCTTGGGAGTATGAGTTAGAAGGTGCGGCAGGGAGGCTGCGGCCTTTTTGAGCCGCTCGGCAAGGGTCTCCGACACCTCAACCTCCGCATCATCTGGGTCTAAATCTGTCGGTGCGTCGAGGTCGACTAAGTGGACACCGTCAGCGTCTCCAACTTCACCCTCCTCGGGTCCTGGGGCCGCGTCGCACGCACTGGAGTCCAGTCCTCGATTCATCTCATAAGGAAGGTATCCTGAGACCCCGTGCCCGTGGGGGCTTCTGTATGCGGCTGCGCAGGCCTCGGCTTTGCCGGGCTGCTCGTCGCACTGTCCGACGGCTTGACCGCGGCAGGGCAAAGTTGAGATACTTTTGAAGGCAGCAATGCCGGTCGGCGTCCGATTCCAACCGCTTTCGCAAGCCTTTTGAGGCGAATAGTAGAAGTAGGTGGTGGTATCCGCAGAGTCTATCGAGGACGGAAAAACAGGCGCGATCTCAGTCGGCCGTCCATCAGCGTAGCTGTGGGCACCAATCAACTCATGTGTATGCAGGTCTATGGTCACGCGAGTCTGGACAGCGTGGGGCGGAGGGCCCCCCGCCGATTCCACATTGTCCAGGAATGCCTTGGCGCCTGGCGTCACGCAACACCACCGCTCGGGAGGTTCACCCCCTCCGGCGGCAACCGCGCCTCTTTGCCTGATAGGGTCAAGTATGGTATCTTGCCCTCAACGGCCAGGTCCACTCTTTGACCGTTGGGCAACAACAGGTAGGGTATTTGGCCTGCTGGCCAGAAGAAGCTGAAGCCGTGATCCATGCACCGCTCTCCTAACGAAATCACGCACGGAGTCTCCAGCATGACTAATGCATTAAAACTACCACCCTTCAATTTGGGGCATGCGATGCGAACTGAACCGAGGGCCTTCGACTCTCCCCCAGCAGTATTCAGAGTGATCGATTGCGGAAGCTTTCGGATCAATCTCATTGCGCCTGCACTTCTAATATATCTCTCCGTTATGAGGATATATCCACACCCAGTATCTATTATAAAGCTCAGCGCGCCGAGATACGCAGCTTCTTTGTCTGTGCATCCAGCAGCGGCTGTGCCGCGTGGGCCCTGATCCCCCTCCTCGGTTCTCAGCCAGAGATGCCAGACTTCATCCTGCAAGTCTGACGCTCTGATCAGTGCCTCCGCAGCAGATGCCCTCGACTGAGTAGACATCTGTCTGCGAATTTCTCATGGGAATTTCCACCTATCTTTGCCACTTGAAGGCGACTCTTTCAAGTCGTGGCGACGCGCCTTCCTCCAAGTGATGGCGGGCCCCTCAGTAGAGGGGTGAAATCGGACACGGAGATTGCACCTATTGTTCTTTCAATATCGGATGCAACTCTTGCTAGGGGGGGCGCTCCAGTACTTCTTTATAGCGCCCCGAGAAAGAGGATGCAGGACATTCGCAAGGACGCTGACGAGACTCTCGGCCTGTTCCCTGCCTTCGCGGCGAAACTCACCGCCGGAGGGGTTCCTGCAGTCTCCTCCGCCGGCATCACTAAAGACCTTCAAATATTTAGGGCTGGTCTGTTTCTGCCCTGGGAGGCCCCGGAACAACGGAGCGGGGCACGCAATGGCACCCACGCTGACTTGGTCAGTGGGAATCTTCCGATTCCCCCGCTTTCGGTTTGACCGACGCGGACTTCGCCACATCCGTCGAGCAAGGAAGACAGGAAAGAGCACCCTTAACAAAATTATGTCAATCATTCTTCCTGCACTGACGGCTGAGCCGCCAGTGAAGAGCCGATGTCACGGATGACCAGTCGTGCTCTGGGCAAACCAACACTCCTTGCCACGCGAGCATTTACCTGTTTCTTTGAAGGAACGACAGATCATGTCTTTGCCTTCGCCTTTGCCTTTATTATTGTCTCCATGGTTTTTTTTGCGTTCGTCGGAGTTATTACTGGAGGCTCTCGAGCCACCATCACCTCCAGACGATGAGACATTGGCAGCGGCGGCATTGGCTTGTTGAGCTGTGCGCTCATGCCCCAAAGATTGTCCCGCGTCAAGCTTCGCTTGTTCCCATTTGTCGTGTTTGAGCTTCTCAGCGTCATTCAACCCTCTGTGTTCTTTATTGCAACCGTCTGCTGCTCCACGACAATTCTTGGGGTCTCGCGACCACGCGTAGTATGGTTTCTTGCTCTCTTTCCCACGCGATCGATTGGTTGGACTCCTGTTTCTCTGTTGCGCTCCCTTCCCACGTCCACCCATTGGGGTCTGCGATCGACTCTGCCCCTTTCGGCCTCGGTCCTTGGATCTCCCTCTGGGGTTCTTGTCCCGGGCAAGAGCGGCATTAGACTTATTTCCCGCAGCCGGCTGAGCCGGCGCGGCAGTCCTGGGGTTCTTATGATTGAAAGGACAACCTTTTCCGGCATATGGGCAGGCTTCGCCCTTGCGCACGTGCTTGCGCGTCGTCTCGCCCTTAGTCAATCCACTCTTCATTACATCGGTGGGTTTCCCTAGTCTGGCTGCTACTTCTGCCGGAGCGGCTTTGCCGCCGGCATTTCTTCGATTGTCTTTGCACCCACCTCCGCCCAACCTGGCCTGCCGAGCACGTTGATTCAAAGTGCTCTCATGCACACTGATGTTCCATTCTTCTTTATCACGCAACATCAGTCCTTCGATCTGCTCCATCAGCCATTCGTAAGTCTTCACACCCTGTCCCATTTTATCTTGGACAGATCATAGAGTTGACAGACGAAATTCAATATGTTGGGCTTTCTGCACTGCTCGATATGCATGGATCGAAGCTCTCATTTCATCAGCCGGAGGTCGGGCACCGTAGAGCTGTTGGTATACATCTGTCCATCATAGAAATGATATAGGTCAGCGTCTGGCTTGTTGGGGTCAATAACAACCTTGAAGATATCACGCGAAATTCGATGTTGGCCTAACTCCGATCTAACAGAACACCAATGACAAATGGCTCGTACCATCTCACGTCCCGTCAAGAGTCTTCCCTCATTCTGGGCGCTGCACTGCATTCGAGTGATCTGCTGAAGGAAGTGTAAGTGATGACTTGGCAGGTTACGATTCCTGCGCATTGTGTTGAATTTCTCAATCAGATTTGTAGCGACCATGAAGTCAAGACGCTGGAAGCGACCTGCTTCTTTGAGTTGCTCATCATCCACAGCAGGGTTCATAGCTTCCGTAATCCAGCTCTGTGCTGCTTGGCTCTCAGGCGACGACCCGGCGATCGCGCGAATTGAATGCA